CCCCGTAACTCAGCATCCCCAGCTTCCCTGCTCCTTGGTACCCCAGAACCTCATCTCCCCATTAACCCCTCTTCTCCCAGCACCCCACTTCCCCATTAACGCCAGTTCTCCTCAAACTCCATCTCCACAGCATCTCTGTACCCCGGCTTCTTAGCTCCCGTGCTCTCCTGACCCCCGGGCTCCCCGCCCCCCTGGCACCACAACCATGGCGTTCATGGTGAAGAGCATGGTGGGGGGACAGCTGAAGAACCTGACGGGTGGCCTGGGTGGAGAGGAGAAGAGCGAGGGCGAGAAGTCTCCAGCTGAGGCGCAGGGTATGACCCGCGAGGAGTATGAGGAATACCAGCGGCAGCTGGTGGAGGAGAAGTAAGTGACCGACACTGGGGACTGGCGGGGACCGGCCCCCCGGGGCTCCCCATCTCATTCATGGATGACTGGGGGAAGGCTCCTCATGCTGGGAGCCATGAGGGACTTTAATGAACACCCTAATCCCTTAATCCGCTTCCTCGTCCAGGAGACTGGATTGTTTTCTCCTTTCAGGCTGCGCTGGGGGAAGGAAATGGTGGGGAACTGGGATGTGGAGAAGATGGGGAGAAGTTGGGGCGGCCCCAGGTTGGGGTGGGGGAGGAGATGCTCACATCCAGGGACCAGGCGCAGCTGCTGCTGGTAACTACCTGACATGGTTTACAGGATGGAGAGAGATGCCCAGTTTGCCCAGCGCAAGGCGGAGAGGGCCACGGTCAGGTCCCACTTCCGAGACAAGTACAGGCTCCCCAAGGTACGGCCGTGCTGGGCACGGGGGTGGGGGGGGAGGGACACAAAGGGAAGCCTCATGGGGGGCTTGGCGGATGGAGCCACGGGGGGACAAACAATACCCCTGCTCCGCAGGGAGGCGACCTGCACCAAACCCCCTTGTTTCTGTGGGATTCTCAGCTACAAAGCCCAAGTGTAAATCAGTTCCTTTAAAAAGCATTCTTCCACCCAAATCCTGGTCCCTTCCTGTCAGCCCTGAGCAACACAAGCCACCAGCCCCAAACAGTGGGACCCCCTGACACACACCCTCTGCCTTCCTTGATCCCACTCTTCCTTTCTTTTGCCCCCAAAATCCACCTGGATGAGGGAAAGCTGCCTTCATCCCAGACTCAGCCCCGTAGCTGGGAGTGGAGCCGAAGTTCACAGCTTCCCAGATGGATTAGCCAGCTCTTCTCCCCGGATTATTTGGCAAATGTTTCCCACCTAAACTCCTATTTTGGAATTTCTGCCTGATGAATGATTCACTAGAAACAGTTTAATCAAGGGATAATTCAGCCATTCTTGGAATTGCCACAGGCTCTTCTCCCCCATCCCCCCCACCCC